TATACATTTATGATACATAGTTATATATCATGGATTCATGTATATATGGTTATATAATATTTATACAATATCGATACATTACACTTTACATAACTAGTTACACAATAATCAATTTTATTAAAAGATATTTTTTCCATTTGTACAGTCACATAATAATCAATTTTTTTTGTTGATAGAATCTACCTATAATCACATCGAACGATTGATTAAAGAAGTTTTTGTTTTAGCTAATAAACTTGATTCTCATTAATCACCAAAGTGAAAGACACACAACACCACAACAAAGTTAAACACAACTTCTTGTCTTAATTTTTTAAAAATAAACCTATCTAAGACACATCTTGTTAGAAAGGGAAGTAAACCAGACATGTACCTCTCCTACGGAGAATGTCCTAGTACTTGCTAAAGAGATTAAGATTTAAAGCAAACTTGAAGGATCTTTATTCAATTATAACTTCAACTTAAATACAAGTAAATATAACTAACTTGACTAACTCCAAGGAATAGTAACTAACTTGACTAACTCTAAAGAACTACTCTAACAACTTAATCTAATCTTGTAGATAAGATTAAATTCAAACATTTAAAGTAAATCTACCTCTAACAAATTAATAACTATTGATAACTAAATCTACTCATGATAACTGCAAGTGTATCTCAACACACCCTCTCAAGTTAGGTGGTGTAACAACACCTAACTTGGATAAATATCGAAGAAAGGTAGGCTTGAACAGGGGCTTAGTGAGAGTGTCTGCAACTTAATCACGTAGGAAAGATATTTGACAATAACTCTGGCTGATTGCACATTTTTTATGAAAGTCCATTGCAATGTGCTTTGTCTTAGTGTGAAAGACCGGGTTTTCGTTGAAATATGAAATACCAATGTTATCACAAAAAATGTTTGGCATATCTGAGACTTGGTACTGTAATTCATTCAACATGTTTTGGACCAAGTAGTCTCAAAGAGTGTGTCAGCTATCGATTTATATTTTGCTTTAGTGGAAGACCGATCAACTAATTGTTGTTTCCTAGAGGACCAACAGATAAGATTTGGTCCCAAGAAGAGTATATAACATGATATAGAGAATTTGTCACTGAAATCTCCCACCCAATCAACATCGACATACATATTCCTATCAGAAATGACGAAAAACTTGTAAGCACAATATTACTAATGACTTGAGATATTGACGAAACTTTTTTTATTGTCTTTCAGTGCTCCAAACTCGGGAATTGCATAAATTGAGATAATTTATTTACTGCAAAATTAATATTAAAATACGTGAATGATAAGTATTACAACTTATCTAGAATGCGTTGATACAAAATTGCATTGACAAGGGTGAACCATCGTCTGCTCTGTGTGGTGAACTTGAGCACGTGGATGTTGCAACTCCTTTCCATAGAGAGAATCTCAAAAATGTGTCTGGCTTGTGATAAGACAATCCCATTGAGAACATGCTTAACTTCAATCCCCCAAAAATAATTGAGTTCACCAAGATTCTTCGGGGAGAACCTGCCAGCCAGAGAGTTGATGACATGTTCAACAAGGTTAAGGTAATTTCCAGTAATGAGAATATCATCAACGTACATCAGAATATAAATAGTGACAGCCTTATATGTGAAGATAAACAAAGAGGCATCTGATTCATATTTTAAAAAATTGATATTAGTCAAATGAGATTTGAGAGCCTCATACTAAGAACGTGAAGCTTGTTTTAGGTCATAAATGACCTTTTTGAGATGACATACATGATTGGGAAAATCAGTGATAACATAGCCTTTCGGCTGATCCATGAATACATGCTCCTCCGATAAGTTACTTTGCAAAAATGCATTGTTCACGTCAAGTTGGTGAACCTTCCACTTGTTTTGAATAGCGATGGACAGAACGATCTCGATAGTTTGATTTGACAATCAGACTAAAGGTTTCATGAAAGTTCAATACTGGACATTGCGTGAAACCTTTTGCTACTAATCGCTCCTTGTACATGTTAATAGAACCATCAACTTTCTTTGTAATTCGACACAACCATTTACAATCAACAAAATTTTTCATTGGGTCCCTAGAAATTAGTTCCCAAGTTTAATTTTTCATTAGAACTTGATATAGCAAATCCATGACATTCTTCCATTCAATGTGCTTAATAGCTTGCTTAAAAGTATTTGGTGTGGCTTAAAGGTGAGCCAAGAAGCTGGATTATTTTTTCAGTTTGATGATATTATTTTGGGACCTTATGACCATACTGGAGGGTAGAGGGGCATTGGAAATTGTAATAGTGTTTGGGGGATTTAGTGGTTGTTGGATCAATATTGGTGGATGATGATTAGAAGCGAGTGATGAAGTAGAGGTGGTATTTGAATGATTATTAAATAGAGAAGGAGAAGTGATAGAGATAATACCTGATGAACTGAAGGTTGATGGTAGTTTCCCCTAAATCATGGACTCTTGAGTGTTGAGAGATAAATGCAAATCTTTTGAATAATTGAAATAATATGGAACAGTTAGGGGGGTAAAGATAGGTGACGGAAGAGTTGGGATGAGATTGGAGTCCAAATTATGTTGGACTTCTGGATGACTTTCTTTAGAGACGTGGGACTCTATGATTTTTCAATTTAACTTGGAAAATTTATTTTTCAAGTGTGACAAAATTTGAGTAAGGAAAAAATATTTTCACAAAATTGAGAATCACGATTAATGAATATTTTTGAGTTCACTTGTTCAAAACAGAGATGTGCATGATGAACAGTAGAAACTCTTAAGCAGACACATTATGTAGATCTAGGCTAAAACTTATTTTGTGTATATGGTAAAGTCATGAATAACAAAGACAATAATTTTTAGCGAATAGTATTTTGATGGTTTTCCAAATAATTTTTTATAACGAGAATCATTATTCAGCAAGGTTTAGGAAGTCTATTTATGAGATAGACAACGCGATGACAAGAAAATGACCATAGTTCAGATGGTAGTGAGGCTTCATTGAGAAGAGTTCTAGCTGTTTCAACAATGTGACGATACCGTCGTTCAACTATGAAAACTCATCGGGGTGTGTAGGGTGGTGAAATTAAATGTTCAATGTCATTTTTTGTAGGTAGTGTTTAAGACTTATGTATTCACCCCCTCCATCAATATAATCTGAGGCAATTGTGTTTAAATTTTTTTTCACCAAAGGATCAAATTGTTCGAAAATGGAAGCAACTTCACTTTGGTAGTGGTGCTCCCAACATTTTCCCCCCATTCCTAGGAATTTAAACCAAAGCCACTAATTAGAAATTAAGGAATCTCAATCATCTCATCACAATCCATGTTAATTGTCAAGGAGAAGTGTTTTGAGTTTATCACGTATTCTTATCAACTTGGCTCGCTCCATCGCTATACACACATATAGTTAATTCAATTTTCATTTAATCTTTTGATTTTGTATTAACCTAAATATTGTCTCTAACTCCTAAGAATTATGTCAAATCTTTTGGAATTATAGAATATAAAAACATATACTCTTTCTGTTTTAATAAAGAAAGACCTAGTTTCGTTTAACACAGAGTTGAAATGAAAAAGACTTTTCAATATTATGGTTTTAGATTAAAGTTATATCAAATTAACCAAAATGTCTTTTAATTTTGTGGTCTTAAACATGTCAGGTAGAAAGTTGAAATTAAAGTATTGTCAAGAAAGGAAAAAAATCATTCTTTTTTAAACATAATAAAAAGAAAAGTAAGTCATTTTTTTTAAACATAATAAATAAAAAGGAAGTGATAGATAGATATAGTCAATTAATTAATTAGGTAGATACTGCTATTATAGTTTGGTACCCACAATTAGAATTTGCATAGTAATATTAAAGAAATTTAGAGACACATACATAATTTCACGTGCAATATATGGTATAGACTGCTATTATAGTTTGGTACCCACAATTAGAATTTGCATAGTAATATTAAAGAGATTTAGAGACACATACATAATTTTTACGTGCACTATATAGTATAGACTGCTATTATAATTTGGTATCCACAATTAAAATTTGCATAGTAATATTAAAGAAATTTTAAGTATTCTGCCTAACTCGAAAAGAAAATTTTTGGGGTGCAACTTTCAATTTCTTCTTCTTAATTAATTCTTGTGTTGGAATAGGCGTCATTTGATAAAGATTTAACTATATAACAAAAAATTTGAATAGAATTTAATGAATGAAAATTCATCCATGAAATTGTTGCATTAATAATATGTTATTTCTTTATAACTTATAATACTACTCTCCAAATTTATTTGTATCATAGTTCAAACTGCCACAATTAGAAGAATTGGCAGCAATTTCACAAAGAACTTATTATTGCATTGTGCGGAGCAATGATATACCAGGTTTAAGGAACTGAAAATTGTTTAAAGACATCACTTTAAATATATATGCAGTCGTAACACATATTAAGAATGAATTTGTAGATAGGCTTGAGGTAGTTAAACAATCTAAATGAATAAGTATAGTTGATTGTTGTAGAGATTTGTGTAACTAAAGTTCTATATGAGGCTTAACTCTAATATCCTTATTAGAGTAGAGGGTGATTCGGAGATCGAGTATTCTTTAGGTGTATTTGTTTTCCCATTGGTTACAAAAAAAAAAATTACTTTATATTTTTTTATTTATGTTTATTGATATGTTTTTATAGCCATATAAATTTTTATTTAAAATTACGAATTCAAAAGATTCCATTTTTTTTATTGAGCATTTAATTAAACTATTGGATCTCGTATATGTACTAGTGGTCCTCTATTAATTTGGTGTAAGGGTATGGCCATCACAGGTTAGAATTAATGGGTCGTCTGGTGTGAAGGATAACATTGAATAGTCCTGCTATTAAAATACAGTGTCATTTAATTTGTTGTTTGATTGACAAGTCCGGAATAACTTATTTTACGGATATATTAATCAAAACACAAAACATAAAGATTATATATTAATGATACACAATTAAACACATATTATATATTTGTCCACTATTTTTAATTTAAACTATTGAATGTACAACACTTTAGATTTGTCCTTTATTATAATATTTCCATATAATATATAAAATATTTAATAACCTAATCAATCATAGTTAGGATCTAGATTTTATTCATTAATTTTAAAAAGGGAAATGAACATAATACAAAATACAAAATAGAGAGGAACCAAATCTTATGCACTACTACACTTAGCTTCTTCCTTCTCCTCATCAGTCATAAAAACAATAATGGGATAAGACATTCCAATTCCCATAAGTGTTTTAAAATAAATCTTCTTTTGATCTTCATTAATGCTCATCTCAATTGTAGGCACCCAAAGAAGTAGTTGTTTACTCTTAACACCACTTATTTTTTTCATCTTACCTGTCGAAATATAATATAATCAAATAATTAATTAAAATACCTTCTTTCAAACTTTTATATAACATGACATGCATGCAAAACAGATATACTATACCTCTCTCGACGTATGCAGTGATCATCTTCGCGTAGCTAACGAGCATTTTAATTGAAGAAAAATAATGTTGGTAGGGGGCTTTTTGTTTCATCCAGATGAATCCAGTCTTGCTAACATAACCAAATTCTTCAAGGTATTTAAGTGGTAGCATTCCTTTAGGAAATCCTGAGTCTTGCGAGACCTTTACAATAAGAGAGTAGCAGTCTTCGGCTCCATATGCAATTTCTGCTCCTGCGCGTTCATCTTCATGAATAGATTTTTGCAGATCACTAGCCATAATATTAATTTTGTAGATTGCAATTGAGGCTTATGATATGGTAGTGTTTATATAAATAGAGTTGCTAGAAATTAAAGGACAACTTAAATTGTATGCTGGTTTAGGGAAAAAAAATTATTATGAATGAGGCACAAATATGATGTGGTAGAAAAAACTTGTATGAGGCACTATTTATTCTTTGACAAGTGAATAATTGGGTCTCATTTCAAAAAATGGTCCAAACTCTTTTTTTCCCTCTCTTCCTTCGTGACGTTTTCCCCCTCTCTTACTTTTTTTTTTTTATTTGATTTCTTTTTCAACCATTGTTTCAAATTTTGCACTTTCATACTTTAATAATTTTATTCATGAAAAGTATGAAAAATATCCATAAACACCTACATAAATACATAAGTTTTCCGTCAATTTATACGATATTTTTTATTTCTGAAATTCAAGCTAGGTGAAATTTAATAAATATTTTGTTTATCTACTTTTCTTACACGTTTCTTAGGAAATTATAAATAAAAATGATAATTTTATTGATTTATTCCTTAAAAGACTTTTTGCGACTTTACAAATTTTATTTATACTTTTGATAAAAAAAAATCATTGTTAGAATTAAAGAAATTACTTATATCTTGATGTTATAAACGAAAAATTAAATACAAATAACTATTTATTAAAATATGAATAAATAACATAGAATAGAAAAAAAATTAATATAGTAAAATAAAAACTTATACAATGATCATAAAAAATTAAATCAAAATCCCCTACATAAAAAAAAGAAAAAAAACATAAACTAATTAGATTAGTTAAGAAACAAAACATTTATAAAAATGAAAACAAAAAATATATTGAAATAAGTGTAAAACAAAAAATAAAAAAGAAAAACATAAACTAATTAGATTAGTTAAGAAACAAAATATTTATAAAAATGAAAACAAAAAATATATTGAAATAAGTGTAAAACAAAAAAAATTGGGTGAAAGGACTTAATAGATACCCCTTTGTCACTTGGCAGATGGATCCCAGTCCATTTGTCAATCAAATAATGCCTCATACAAGCATGACTTGGCATGCCTCATACATAATAAAAAATTTCATGGTTTAGCCCATGTGTCAATTAGGTGTATGACATTCTTACTTAGAGTTTTGGCTAAAAATATCCTTAAACTATACCCTCAACTTAGAGTTTTGGCTAAAAATATCCTTAAACTATACCCTCAACTTAGAGTTTTGGCTAAAAATATCCTTAAACTATACCCTCAACTTAAACCACATCCTTAAATTATTTTTCTTATAGAAAACATCCCTCAATTATTTAAAATTTGACAACTTTCATCCTTCTGTTAAAAATTGTCAAAACTTAACAAGTTCTTCACAACATGTACAGTTCACTCTATTCTCAGCAAATTAAACTCTCTAAATCACCCCAATAAATCAATTATGTTCATTCTACATACATCTAAAATAATATTATAGTTTTTTTTTTAGTAACAACGCTTAGCATTGTCTTCCTTTTAATTACCAATTTTATTTTTATTTACTTTTCATTTGATTTGATATCAAAGAATTATCAATGGAAATGTTTTGTTTTTATATTGAATCTGCAAAAAGTGGTGTCATTCGGAGACTTTTATTTCTAATAATGAAAAATGAAACTTGAGTACTAGAGATCAAAATTAGTTGAATCTTGATCACCTCAATTATCAATTTGCCCAAAAAATTATTGTTCTATCGACATTTTGATTTTGTAAGGTGAAGATTGTGTGAAATTAAGCTCCAACTCCATTCAGTTGGTAAAGGAGAATAGCAAATCATGTCTCCTCATATACTCACACCGTCCTAATATTGTTTTTTTAACAACAAACACGAGTCTCAATTTTTTTTGGATGAATTTTCCCACCAGTAATAATATTATTGATTTTGTTTATGAGAATAATATGAATTGCATATGTTTTTTATGTGGAATTCGCTAATTTTTTGACAAATTTTAATAGAGGGATGAAAGTTGTTAAGTTTTAAATACTTGGAGGATGTTTTTTTGTTAAAAAATATAATTTAAGGATGTAGTTTAAGTTGAAGGTATAATTTAAGGATGTTTTTAGCCAAAAACTCGCAAAAAAATGCAAAGATATGGTAGATGCATTATAAACATAATATCGATACATTGCATATACCTAACCTACAACCATTTTTTTTGGAGCAACCTTCACATATAGCAAACATAAAATCATATTTGTATGTTATATCTATAGTTTGCATAATTGCGTTCCATAACAAATTTTATGTTTGCTAAGGAGCTTTTGATTTGTATAACTCGCTAGAAACATCTAATTTTATACAAATTGTTCAGTTTTATATAAATTCATTTATATATTGTAATTTGAATAATAAGATCTGTATTTGTATAATTATAAGTGTATAGGACGAAAATATATGTATTTGTATTTGTATATACTCTTTTCTCTCGCTTTATACAAACACAAACACATTTTATACTGAAATATATAAAATGACTAATTGTATACAGAAAATGGCTAATTGTATACCGAATAAGATGACATAAAAAATAAGATGTTTGCTGCGAACTACAATTAAAATAAACTATGACTATAACATTTAATTTGAATTAATAATTTGCTATTTCATACAATTTTCCCTTTTTGTTAAATATTTTTTCCCATCCGTACAGTTATGTACAATGTCCTTTTTTTTGTGAAATCTACCTATAATTATATTGAACGATTGATTAAAGAAGTTTTCTTTTAGGTAACTAACTTTATTTTTATTAATCACCCCAACTGAAAGACACACAAAACCACAACAGAGTTAAACACAAGAGAAAATGTCCAAAATAATCCCTCATCTTTGTGTTAAGACTCAAAGTCATTCTTGAGTTTTCATATGAAGCATTAATAGTCCCTCATGTTTGCAATATTGGTGCACTTTTGGTCCTCCTTCAAAATTTTGCCCTTTTTTTAACATTGATTTTATTCATAATTTATGTATGGAATGTTTAATCGTCATTTTATATATTTAGTAGAAATAATAACTCTATTTGAGAGATTGTGAGAAGAAAAACACCTTGTTTTGTTTAGTAGAAATCGTATTGCAGGTAAAGTCGAGAGGTTCATCACAATGATTTCATGTGCAATAGTACAAATTTTTCTTTTCTTGCAATGTCACACGTTAAAATGTTCTTAGTTTAGCTGCAGTAATATTTATACTGAACAAAACATGATGTTCTTCTTCTCACCTTCTCTCACAGAGTTATTATTTCTACTAAATATATAATGACAACTTGTCGTCTTAATAATAATAATATTCCCTCTGTCCCTAATTACTTGTCCATTTTGACAAATAAAAAAATGACAATTTTTTTAATCTACTATACCCTCAATTAATTACTTTGAAAAAGTAGAACTTTTTGAAAGTCCTAAGTTTTTAATTCATCCACTTCATAATTAATAGGGGTAAAGTGTAAACTCACTATGTCAATAATTATTTTCTTAATAGTTATGCCAATTTTAAAATGAACAAGTAATTACAGACATAGGGAGTAATAAAAATGTGTCTAAGACACATCTTGTTAGACATTATTCGTAAGCTTCTTTACGACTTCAATTGGACAAAGGAAAAGCCTTCCTAATATTTCGCTCAGTTCGATATTTATATTAAAATTTGATTAAATTTGAATTGGATACTGTAAACCTAATTTTGGTAGTGATTAAATTTGAATTGGATAGTATAAACCCAATTTTGGTAGTGATGCTTGCAGCGTTTTTTTTTCCATTCCTAGAAAGGAATCTCAACCATTTCATCACAATCCAATATATCAGATTTATGTCAAATCTTTTGAAAGTATAGAACATATAAATTCTATTTGTTCTTTAAATAGATAGATTTAGTAAATTAATTAGTCTTTCTTTTTATTTTTTTTTCTGTAAAAGACATGAATAACAATTTATTTTTTTATATAAAAAATATCTATCAACAAGAAACTTTTTAAAAAAAATATCGACAGCTTTTGGTGGAGTGTCACTCAAAAAAATAAAAACAAAAATAATTTATCTATTTTTTCTTGGACAAAACAATATCCAGAGTCATAATCAATCATCACACGCTAAAATGCATGTCTCCACGTCAGCATAAGTACCCGGATCCGTATTCGTATTTGTACCCTCAGCACGGGTCGCCACGTCATCATCACCAGTACTCCATACCCGTATTCGTACTGTACCCATCGTACGGGTTTCCACGTCAGCACACATGCAGTAAAAAGTCCGATCCGACCCAATAACCCATAACCCGTGCGTCTTCCTCCGCTTCCATGGCCGTCAACCGATAATACGTAAAAATTGAAATAAATATTATTTCTGAATAATATCGAACCAAAGCTAATAATTTCGTTTACAAAACAGTTCATCAAGTGAGAGAACTCAAACTGGTTTTCCGATCAGAGTTTCCTGGTTTACCGATGTCCGGCGGTCCGAGAAGTTACTCGGTCAATCCGAGCGATTACAAGCTTCTAGAAGAAGTTGGATATGGAGCAAGTGCGACTGTGTATAGAACGATCTATATACCTTCTAATGAAGTTGTAGCAGTCAAGTGCTTGGATCTCGATCGCTGTAACAGCAATCTGGTTTGTTCTTATCTCTTTAAACAGTGGATTTTGAGGTTATTAAACAAAAAAATTAGATGTGATTATGTTATTTATGTTGAATTGAGTTTGAATGCGACTTGACTTGACTTGATTTGACTTCGAGGTGGATGTAGTTTATTACAGTAGGTAGAATCGATCTCACTCCTCGAAGCTCGGATCATTAAAATAGAAAAAATTCAGAAAGTAATCGAGTCTCTGTATGGTGGATCTGCCTCTGAATTGGTTTTCATTTAGTTGATGTTTTACTATATGATTTTGTGTAGATACGGATAAGTATTTAGGGGTGGATTGGGTTGCAACTTGGTGTACTGAGATCATAGAGTTGAATGAAGGCTTTGTTCTTTTTTGATTTGGGGGAAATGAGGGCTAGAAGTTTTCAGTATTGAATTATGGTTTGCTTC